ATGCATTTTGACCCATTACGGTGCATTTTGATGCGTTCCAGTGCGTTTTGATGCGTTCCAGTGCGTTTTGATGCATTTTGACACATTACGGTGCATTTTGATGCATTTTTGACGCGTTCCAGTGCGTTTTTATACATTTCAGTAAAAAATGCAAAACACAGCAAAAACGCACTTTTTGTTTTGAGGGCCGGTTCACACTATAGAAGCAGTCCAGATGCCTTCCAGATGCATTTTACCATGCACCTTTTTCATGTGTTTTTGGTGCGTTTTAATGCATTTTTTTTACGTGTTACAGTGCGTTTTGATGCACTTTTGACTGGTTCCAGTGCGTTTTGATGCATTTTTTTCCGTGTTACAGTGCGTTTTGATGCATTTCAGTTAAAAATGCAAAATGCTGCAAAAACGCACTTTTTGTTTTTAGGGCCAGTTTCACACTATAGAAGCAGTCCAGATGTGTTCCAGATGCATTTTTCCTTGCAACATTTTCATGCGTTTTGATGCGTTAGTGTGTTTTTTTATGCATTTTTGACGCGTTCCAGTGCTTTTTGATGCATTTTTTGCAGCGTTCCAGTGCTTTTTGATGCATTTTTGCCGCGTCCAGTGCGTTTTGATGCATTTTGGTTAAAAATGCAAAACGCGGCACAAACGCACTTTTTGTTTTTAGGGCCGGTTCACATTATAGAAGCAGTCCAGATGTGTTCCGGATGCATTTTTTCATGCACCTTATTCATGCGTTTTTGGTGCGTTTCGATACATTTTTGACGCATTACAGTGCGTTCTGGATGCATTTTTGCATGCAACTTTTTTATGCATTTTTGGTGTGTTCCAGTGCGGTTTGATGTATTTTTGGTCACATTCCGGTGCGTTTTTATGCATTCCAGTTCATTTTCTCCCCTCTCTCTTTTTCTTCAATTTAAATAGGGACGTGTGCATTCCAGTGCGTTTTTTGATGCATTTTTAATGAGTTTTTGGTTTGTTCCGGTGCGTTTTTGATGCGTTTTACCGCGTTCCAGTACAGTTCTGTGCAGGAAAAATGCCGCCTCTTCTACTTTTTTTTTCTGAGACCAAAAGTCAATGGAACTGACTGCGCTGGTGTGAACTCTGACACCCAGATCACTGACTTTCTGTGCGTTTTGGATGCAGAAAAAAAGCTACTGAAACGCATGGAGTGTGAACCGGCCCTGAAATTGAAGAAAAAGAGAGAGGAAAAAATTAACTGGAATGCATTAAAAAAAGCACAGGAACCTGTCAAAAACGCATCAAAAATGCACCGAATGCACATGTTCCTATTGCATTGTTTACGCATTTTTGGTGTATTCCGGTGCGTTTTTATGCGTTCCAGTTCATTTTTTCCCCGTCTCTCATTTTCTTCAATTTAAATAGGGACGTGTGCATTCCGGTGCGTTTTTGATGCATTTTGCCGGTGCAGTTCTGTGCAGGAAAAATGCCGCCTGTTTACTTTTTTTTTTTTCTGCCACCGGAACGGCAAGCGCTGATGTGAACTATGACACTGACACCCATATCACCGACTTTCTGTGCGTTTTGGATGCAACTGAAACACATGGAGTGTGAATGGCCCTTAAAAAAGTCCCCAGCCCTTTCCAAAAACGCAGCGGCTCAAAAAAGCAGAGATGTGAACGTGTCCCATAGGAAACCATGTTACATGGACTGCTGTGCGTTTCTGCAAAAAGCACTAAAAAAACGCATTGGAGTGAATGGAGCCTCCTGGCCGAGTGCTGCTCACCGAATGAAGCTGAAGGCGCAGTGCAAGAAACGGCCAGCAGAGGGAGACACAGACTTAAAGAATAACTAAAGGGTAAAACTTTGTTTTTCAGGTTCGGGTGGAGTGGGGAGGGATTGGACCCCCTGACAGGTCACTATTACTGTCTGTGTCCCCGTCAGGGAGATTCTCCCCTACTCTATTCATCCTGGTGACCCAAATCCCTCAATGTGAAAGAAAATCTCAAATTTTGGGTTGTCACCGGCACAGGAACTGAGGGGAAATCTTCTGGTGGGGACATTATTTTTGGTGATATTTTGGAAGACTTCCTGTTATGACAATGGGATTTCCTCCACTTCCTGTTATGACAATGGGATTTCCTCCACTTCCTGTTATGACAATGGGATTTCCTCCACTTCCTGTTATGACAATGGGATTTCCTCTCACTTCCTGTTATGACAATGGGATTTCCTCCACTTCCTCTCACTTCCTGTTGTGGCTATGAGACAGGAAGTGAAAGGAAAGCTCCCCAATGGGGACACTAGTTTTGGTGACAACTTGAAAGGATTTCCTCCACTGCCTTTCACTTCTTGTTGTGGATATGGGACAGGAAGCAAACGGAAATTTCCCCAGTGGGGACACTACTTCTGGTGACACTTTGGAAGGATTTCCTCTTACTTACTGTTGTGGCAATGTAATTTCCTTCACTTCCTTTCACTTCCTGTTGTGGCTATGAGACAGGAAGTGAAAGGAAATCTCTTCAATGGGGACACTAGCTCTGGTTACACTTTGGAATAAATTCCTCTCACTTCCTGTTGTGGCAATGTAATTTCCTTCACCTCCTCTCACTTCCTGTTATGGCTATGGGACAGGAAGTGAAAGGAAATATCCCCAATGGGGACACTTGTTCTGGTGACATATTGGAAGGATTTCTTCTCATTTCCTGTGTTGGCTATGAGAAAGGACGTGAAAGGTAATCTCTCCAATGGGGACACTAGTTCTGGTGACACATTGCAGGGATTTCCTCTCACTTCCTCACTTCTTGTTGTGGTTACGGGACAGGAAATGAAAGGAAGTCTTCTCAATAGGGATACTTGTTCTGGTGACACTGGTGGGATTTCCTCCTACTTCCTGTTCTAGCTATGGGACAGGAAGCAAACGGAAATTTCCCCAATGGGGACACTACTTCTGGTTACACTTTGGAGGGATTTCCTCTCACTTCCTGTTGTGGCAAAGAGTCAGGAAGTGAAAGGTAATTTCCCAAATGGGGACACTAGCTCTGGTGAAACTTTGGAGAGATTTCCTCCACTTCCTGTTTTGACTATGAAACAATAGTTCTGGTGACAATTTGGAAGGCTTTCCTCACTTCCTGTTGTAACAATGGGATTTCCTTCACTTCCTCCCACTTCATGTTGTGGCTATGGGACAGCAATTGAAAGGAAATATCCCCAATGGGGACACTTGTTCTGGTAACACTTTTGAGGGATTTCCTCTCACTTCCTGTTGTGGCAAGGAGACAGGAAGTGAAAGGTAATCTCCCCATAGGGGACACTAGCTCTGGTGAAACTTTGGAGGGATTTCTTCCACTTCCTCTCACTTCCTGTTGTGGTTATGAGACAGGAAGTGAAAGGATATCTCTCCAATGGGGACACTAGTTCTGGTGACACTTTGGAGGGGTTTCCTCTCACTTCCTGTTGTGGCAAGGAGACAGGAAGTGAAAGGTAATCTCCCCAATGGGGACACTAGCTCTGGTGAAACTTTGGAGGGAGTTCCTCCACTTCCTGTTGTGGCTATGAGACAGGAAGAGAAAGGAAATCTCTCCAATGGGGACAGAAGAATATATTTATAATGTTTTTTTTATATCTATTTACAAATGTTTTGCCTTTCATTTCTGCTTTAACCCCTCGCCCTCCAGAGGATTCCCCCCCCCCCCCCTTCCTGACCACGACATTTTTTGGGTTACTGCGTTACTTTAACTGACAATTGCGCGGTCATGCAACGCTGCACCCAAACAAAATGTATGTCCTTTTTCCCCCACAAATTGAGCTTTCTTTCTGTAATATTTGCGGTGCGGTTTTTATTTTTTGCTATTAAATATGTCCAGTAAAAAACATTTAAAAAAAATCAAATTTCTGCAGAAATTTAGACAAAATGTATTCTGCTCCGTGTCTTCGCTAAAAAAAAATACAATACATGTAAATTAATTGGTTTGTGTGAAAGTTATAGCGTCTGCAAATGGCGGTATAGATACTGGGATTTTTTTTTTTATACTAGTAATGGCGGCGATCAGCGACTTATAGCGGGACTGCGGCGGGCATTCTGACACTGGGGGGGGGGAACTGACTTGGTGTCATTGATAACCCCCAGTGACACCAATACAGTGATCAGTGCTAAAAAAAACACTGACACTGTACTAATAGCACTGGGCAGGAAGGGGTTAACATCTGGGGCGATCAAACCTACATGGAAGTAAAATAGATTTTAAAAATATTCTTCCCATATATATTGACATATATTTGAAATACTACAATTTTGGCCGTATTCAATATATTTAAAAAAAAAAATATATATATATATATATATATATATATATATATATATATATACTGTATGTTGAAATGCGTTTTTATTTAAAAATATATGAAAAATATAAAAAAATATATATATATATACACATACATACACACTGCATGTTGAAATGGATTTTCATTACAAAATATATGAAAAATATTTTTTAAAAAAATACATTTTCAAATACACTGTATTTCTTTAAAAATACAATTCTACATTTTGGGAATGTATTTAACAAATATATGTAAAAATATATGTTAAAATTATTTTTCTATATGTTAAAAAAAAATCTGAAGAATATATTTTAAAAAAAAAATATTTTTTTTAAATTATATATTTTTAAAATATATTCTTCAGATTTTTTTTTTTACGTCATGTTTTGGGGGTTTTATGCGATCTAAATGATTTTTTTTTAACCGGTTGCCCTCCACCCTATAGCAGATGTACTACTACAGGGCAGCAGGGCTGTGCAAAATCATATATATATATATATATATTATATATATATAATATATATATTTTCATTTTTTAATATATTATTTAATATATATATATATATATATATAAAATATATATATATATATTATTTATATATATATATATATAATTTGCATTTCTGCGCCGCCCTACCCGCGCCACTATTGGTGGCTAGAGATATCAATCACAGGGTCCTGGCCCGCGATTCCCGGCCGACACTCGGCAATCATTGGGAAAAGCTGACAGGGGGTAGGTCTGTGTGTAAACAGCACAGGTCTCTCTCCTGCCGTCCAGGACATGCTGCTGTGTATTTCTCTGTACAGCATGTCTCCCTATTAAAACAGCACACAGTTAACCCTTTGATCGCCCCAAATGTTAAACCCTTCCTGCCCAGTGCCCTTAGTACAGTGTCAGAATATCCCCTGTAGTCCCTCTATAATTTGCTGATCGCCTCCATTACTGGTGTAAAAACAAAATCCCAGTATATATAATGCCATACAATCATTGTATTGGTGTCACTGGGGATGTCAGTGACACCAAGTCAGTTCCCCTCCCCAGTGTCAGAATGTCCGCCGCAGTCCAGCTATTAGCAAGTCGCTAATCGCCGCCATTTATTAGTAAAAAAAAAAAAAAAAAATCCCATTATCTATCCCGCCATTAGTAGACGCTATAAACTTCCACGTAAGCCAATTAATTTACACGCATCGGGATTTTTTTTTTTTTAGCAAAGACACGGAGAAGAATACATTTTGGCCAAAATTTATGAAGAAATTAGATTTGTAAAAAATTTTTATTGGACATGTTTTATAGCAAAAAGTAAAAAAAAGAAAAAAATATATATATAATTTTATTTATTTATTTTTTTCTCAAAATTGTCGGTCCTTTTTAGATTATAGCGCAAAAAATAAAAAAACCGCACAGGCGATCCAATACCACTGAAAGAAAGCTCTATTTGTGGGGGAAAAAAAAAGGACATAAAATTCCATTTGGGTGCAGCGTGGCATGACTGCGCAATTGTCAGTTAAAGTAACACAGCGCCGCATTGCAAAAAATGGCCTGGACAGGAAGGGGGAGGGAAATTCTCTGGAGGGCGAGGGGGGGGGGAATCCTCTGGAGGGCGAGGGGGGGGGGGAATCCTCTGGAGGGCGAGGGGGGGGGGAAATCCTCCGGAGGGCGAGGGGGGGGGGAAATCCTCTGGAGGGTGAATCCTCCGGAAGGGCGAGGGGGGGGGGGAATCCTCCGGAGGGCGAGGGGGGGTAAATCCTCCAGAGGGCAAGGGGGGGGGAATCCTCCGGAGGGCGAGGGGGGGGGAAAATCCTCCGGAGGGCGAGGGGGGGGAAATCCTCCCGAGGGGGGGAGGGAAATCCTCCAGAGGGCGAGGGGGGGCGGAAATCCTCCAGAGGGCAAAGGGGGGGGATATAAATCCTCCGGAGGGCGAGGGGGGGGAAAATCCTCCGGAGGGTGAGGGGCTTTTAAACGTGTGTGAAAAAAATGCAAAGGCATCTCTGGCAGCAGAAAGGGTTAATTGCCGGCATGCTTGGGTGGCTGGTGCCACGTAAGGGGGAACCTGTCTGGTGCCGGCCGCCCCTTTGGGGTGAGCGCTAAGCAACATTACGGAGCGCTTTGGCATTATGGACTCTCTTGAGGGAATCATTGAGGTACACGAGGCGGTCACATGGTTCCTCGAGGTACCGGAAACATTTGTCTCTCGTTTTCACCTTCACTTTAAACAGGGGTGTCCCTAGGGTTGGGGTCACCCGGTGCGATAACACTTGGGTGACACCCCCTCCGACGATCCCCACAGAATGGATCGGATCTGCGAATTGGGGAGCATAATGGATCAGAGTCTGATCCATTATGCTCAATCCGCAGATCCGAACCATCCTGCGAGGATCGTCGGCTTGCTTTACAACTTACCTTTTCGTGGAGCGGGTCCAGGGTCACCTGGTACGGCGCGCACCCCCCCAGCACCTGCCTAGGGACGCCACTGATTTTAAATATCTTCCGTTATTCTGAATCGTTTGGATATTGAATCGTGATCGCTGTTAAATCTTCTGTGACGTGATCCGCGTCCTGGCGGTGATGTGTGCCATTCACGTTTCATCCTCCCATTCCGCAGCATTTCCAGAGTCCATGTCCTGCTCTTAGTCTTCATGGTGGTCTTGCCCACTTCTTTGAAGGATGTTTTTGTTGGAAGGGATCACAAAGGAAAGCGGTGGGAAGGTCTTGCGGGTGACACTGAGTGGCGCGGTGACGGCAGTGAGTGGGTGTTGGTGTTATTGTTGTAATTAGCAGAGAGGACTGCGCGTCGGAGCTGAATGGCGCCAATAAAGACTTACCTCATTAGACGGTGAAATGTTGACTTTGTTTCGTGACATATAAAGTTCTAGAAGATGTACGACTCATCCATAGAAAATAATAGACTATAAAAACAATAGAATAAAAAATGTAAAAAAAAAAAAAAACAATAAAATTGAATATAACTATCTTCCAAAATTCGAACAGAATATAAAAACAATAGAATACAATATAAAAATATAGAAGAGAATAGAAGAGATTAGAATAGAATAGAATAGTAAAAAAAAACAACAACACAATATAATAAAAAAATAGAATATAACTGTCTTCCAAAATTTGAATAGAAAAATAAAAAACAATGGAATAAAATAGAAAACAATATAAAAGTATAGAATAGATTAGAATAGAAAAATAATAGAATAGAATAGTAAAAAAAAACAACACAATAGAATAAAATAGAATATCACTATCTTCCAAAATTCGAATAGAATATAGAAACAATAAAAAAAAAAATAGAACACAATATAAAAGTATAGAATAGATGAAAATAGACTAGTTCAGAACAGTAAAGAAAAGAATAGTAAAAAAAAACCAAAAAACAATATAATAGAATAAAATAGAATATAACTGTCTTCCAAAAAAAAATACAATATAAAAAAAATGGAACAAAATAGAAAACAATATAAAAGTATAGAATAGATTAGAATAGAAAATAATAGAATAGAATAGTAAAAAAAAAACAACACAATAGAATAAAATAGAATATCACTATCTTCCAAAATTCGAATAGAATATAGAAAAAATAAAATAAAATAGAGCACAATATAAAAAGTATAGAATAGATGAAAAATAGACTAGTTCAGAACAGTAAAGAATAGAATAGTAAAAAAAAAACCAAAAAAAATATAATAGAATAAAATAGAATATAACTATCTTCCAAAATTTGACAAATAGAATGAATTTGAATAGAATAGAGAGAATAAAACAGAAAATAAAAGCATATAACGGAATAGAAAATAATAGAATAGAATAGAACAGAATAGAAAAAAAAAATAGAATAAAAATAAAACGAAAATAACTCTTCCGAATTTCGAATAGAATAAATTCAAATAGGATAGAAAAGAATGGAGCAAGAATAGAAAATAATAGAATAGAATAAACAATAAATTAGAATATAACTGTCTTTCAAAATTAGAATTGTGAATAGAATACATTCAATTTAGAATAGAATAAATTAAAATAGAATAAAAAAAGATTAGAATAGCAAAACAATAGAAGAAAATAGAAAGTATATAACGGTCTTTCAAAATTAAAAAAAAAAAAAAAATAGGATAAATTTGAATAGAATAAATTAGAATAGAATAGAATAGAAAAATATAGAACGATTATAACCACCTTCCAAAATTTGAATCAAAATATATTAGAATAGAATAGAAAAAAAAATTACAGAATAGAATATAACTATCTTCCAAAATTCGAATAGAAATAAAAACAATAGAATAAAATAGAATACAATATAAAAGTACAGAATAGATTAGAATAGAAGAGATTAGAATAGAAAAGAATAGAATAGTAAAAAAAAAAATACAGTAGAATAAAAAGAATATAACTATCGTCCAAAATTCAAAAAAATATAATGAATTTGAATAGAATAGAAAGGATTAGAACAGAAAAGAAAAGGATATAACAGAAAAGAAACAAACAGAAAATAATAGAATAGAATAGAAAAAAAAAACAATAGATTAAAAATAAAAAGAATATAACTCTTCCGAATATATATATATATATTTGATTTTTTTAATTACTATTAGTTTTTTTTATAACAGAAAGTAGAGATTATGTTTTTTTTTTTCAAAATTTTCTGTCTTTTTCCATTTTATATAATTAAAAAAAATTATATATTTTTATTTTTTTTTCAATTATTATTATTATTAGCTATTTTTTTTATAACAAAGTAGAGACTATTTTTTTTTCTTTCAAAATTTTCTGATTTTTCCATTTTATATAATTAAAAATATATATATTTTTGATTTTTTTTTTTAATTATTATTATTAGCTATTTTTTATAACGGAAAGTAGAGATTATGTTTTTTTTTTCTTTCAAAATTTTCTGTCTTTTTCCATTTTTTATTATTAAAAAAATATATATTTTTGATTTTTTTAATTATTATTATTAGCTATTTTTTTATAACAGAAAGTAAAGATTACCGTATTTTCCGGCGTATAAGACGACCCCCGACTTTTGAGAAGATTTTCAAGGGGTAAAAAGTCGTCTTATACGCCAGAAAATACGGTATGTTTTTTTCTTTCAAAATTTTCTGTCTTTTTCCATTTTCTATAATTAAAAAATATATATATTTTTGATTTTTTTTATATTATTATTATTATTATTAGCTATTGTTTTTATAACAGAAAGTAGAGATTATGTTTTTTTTCTTTCAACATTTTCTGTCTTTTTCCATTTTTTATTATTAAAAAAAATATATATTTTTGATTTTTTTTAAATTATTATTATTAGCTATTTTTTTATAACAGAAAGTAAAGATTATGTTTTTTTCTTTCAAAATTTTCTGGCTTTTTCCATTTTATATAATTAAAATATATATATATATTTTTTTTTAAATTATTATTATTAGCTTTTTTTTTTATAACAAAGTAGAGATTATGTTTTTTTTTTTCTTTCAAAATTTTCTGTTTCCATTTTATATAATTAAAAATATATATATTTTTTTTATTTTTTATTATTATTATCGGATTTTTTTTATAACAGAAAGTAGAGATAATTTTTTTTTCTTTCAAAATTATCTGTCTTTTTCCTGCTACAGAGCGGGCTCACTGGGCAAAATCACGTAAATATACGCACGCACGCGCACCACCCTTCCTGCGCTGCTTTTGGCTCCTGAGGATGTCAATCACCAGGTTCTGGCCAGCGATTTTTGTTCGGGACTCGGTGATTTTTTTTTTTTTAGCAAAGACATGGAGCAAAATACATTTTGGCCTAAATTTATGAAGATTTTGTATTTTTTTTTATTGGATGTGTTTTATAGCAAAAAGTAAAAAAAATTGTTTGGTTTTTTTTTTTCAAAACTGTCGGTCTTTTTTTTTTTTTCGTTTATTGCGCAAAAAAATTAACAACTGCTGAGGCGATCAAATACCGCCAAAAGAAAGCTCCATCTGTGGGAAAAAAAAAACAGGACGAACATTTCATTTATGTACAGCGTTGCATGACCGCGCAATTGTCAGTTAAAGTAACGCAGCGCAAAAAACTGTCCTGCTGTCAGGAAGGGGGTGGGGGGGGATCTTCTGGAGGGCAAGTGGTTAAAGGAAGCTGAAAGAGAAAAGACTTACCGGCAGGAATGACAGGAACAAAAAAAAAGGAAAACTAATGCAGCCTCCACCT